CTGCTGGTTTCTTCTTTAGATTGTTCTTTTTATGTACAGTGCCCTGAGACAACATATGTTGTGACTTGGAGCTATATTAAATAAACTGAATTGAATTGAATCATAACTCCGGTTCTATTTTGCCTAACACAATTTAAAAACTGTTTTAAAGTTTAAAGTCGCTACTTTTGATTTAAATTGAAACTGTGTCTCATAGAAGGCATTTCTTTCCGGTTAGAGCGATTGAAATGGACCATGTGATGCGCCAGCAGAAGTTCTCTTAATCGATAAGAAAGGATTTTAATCTGATAAACTATTATTTGACAATTAATTGTAAGTTGATTGTTTGCATCCCTAAAATAGTGTTTTAACTATTCCGCAAAATATTAACATTTTTCATTATTACCTGTTCATTTTGATTACCTCATCATGTTTCAAATGGTCTGGCATACTTAACATCCTCTTCCCAAGGCCAGCATGGGCAAGTTCTAGCTCTTCAAAGCCCTTTGCTGTGAGCTGACTGGGTTCAGACAGGACATACATATGAAAGTCTGTCCTTTTCACAATGGAAGGTGCAGGGGTCGAGAATCGTTGTTTTCCTCTTGCCTGATCAGTATTAAACATACTTGGAAACTGCCTGATGTGGAAAAGACAAAAAAATATTTTAGGGAAAACAATAAATCTTGTACCTATTTTACAGTAATTAGTTTTAAAAAAGGTACAATATATACATACCATACACTATTCATTTCTGTTCTAGACAACAATAAATGGGTAAGAATAATATTAATCACCATCACTAAAGTAAAAATGTGTTACCTAATTGACAACACAACTTTGTTGAACAAAAGCTAATTTTAATAACCAATGTCATTTTGTTGTTTACACGTTTTAATGTGAGTGTACAACAACGTTGGGTGTAATCTGCAGCATGACAGGAGAGGGAAAAACAGACTACAGCAAGTTCAAATATAGGTTTCCATATTCATGAGAATAACAAAATAGAAAAGAAAACAACAACACTGTAGGACAAATTGATGAATGCAAAGGATATACTGTATCATGGTAGTAAGGTTGAGTATAATTTAAATTTTGTTGATTCAGATTGTGGTTCCATACTGATCTTGTTCTTACATAAAGTCATTGATTTTTAGCAACATTGCTTCAGTCATTAGCTTATATCACATGCACTGCACTTAGTCTCGTTATCTTAAATCAGGGGTTCGCAAGCCATTTGGGTCTGGAGACCCCTTACAAGAAAGAAAAAAATTCCAAGGACTCCCTCATAAACCCCATAATATAATAATAATTTAGATAGATAATTTATTGTCATTTCAACCCCTAAATGACATAGGAGTATTTTTTTATGTTTGTTTTATTAGTTCATTGTTCTCCTTCATTCTCTTCATGCATTAAAAAAAAAAAAAATTAACATCTTGGTAAAAATGTTTGAGGACCCCCAAAATACCTCTCACGGACCCCTGTTTGAGAACCTCTGTCTTAAACAAAGTGAAGCTACATTTTTGACCAAAAATGTGCATGTGACATTAGCATGGTGTCCCTCAGTTCACACAACACTGGCATGTAAACAAACTCCCGTGCTAGTTGCATTTGCTGCCTGATATAGTATAGTAATGCCCTAGCATGCATTAAACATATGAAGTGTTTTGGTAGCAATAATAAAGTCTTATGTCTCATTTAGAAACAATAAACGGAAGCTTTTTTTATTACTGTTTTTTATTTATTTATTTTATTTTTGATCTCCACCCAGAATGAGTTTAAAATTTTGGAGATTAGATTCCCAACCCTACTAAACTGAGGGAATCAAGAATAGTGAGATGACGGTTAACACCATATACTTATAATTTACTAGCAAATGTAAAATTAGTAAGAAATTTTCTTTCACCTTCTCATGGCCTGTCTCACCCTACCATCGCTAACCGGAGGAGGAGCACTGCCTTCAGCCCTGACTGCTGTAGGCTCTCTTAGAGCGCCTGTGGCCGAGGACAGCTCCCGGGCCAAAAGCTGCACAAAAGCCCGAGCTGCTACCTCGGCTTGTGGTGATAGACCCTGTCAAAAAGTCACTTTATTCACAAGAAATTCAACTTTATGGAAAGATAAAGGCCAGCGCTGCAATGTTAGCATAGAGGTGCTAACGTAGCACCGCTGGCAGCATGCAGAGCTAGAGGACGTGCTAACGTAACTTACTAGCTTAACATGTGTTGATAGTTGCACTAATTAAGCGAATAACAACTTCTCATAATAAGGGGATAAGCAGCCAAACATGTTAAGAAGACAGATGTTTCACTTACAGCATCCCTATGGTTTCCAGCAGCCATGTTGCGGACTTGTTCTCAACTGCCAGGGTTGCCAGATTGGAATGACAGTTTTCAGCACAAACGCAACACCCGCCCAAACACAAAAAAACCTGACCAAATCCTAACCTCTGACAGTGTGTGCAGTATAAAAAAGTTTATATTACTGATATAGCCTACATGTGTATATTATACTAATAAAAATACACCATTAGCACACATCTGCATTGAATCTGTATTTATTTATTTATTTTTGTAGCTCTGAAAAGACAGTGTTAGAGAGAGTGACACTCATCTTTAGGATGAAAACTTCTAAATAACCAGATGGGGGTGGGTAAAATGTTTGTTGCAAGCATGTGCATAAGAAAACTCAAGTAATAGCACTCGTTTTGCAGAAGGAGGGTGTAGGTCCTCAGATTCTCAGAAACAGTCTCTTCCATTTGGTGCATTTACAGTTGATATTAACTAACACAATTTTGTAGTGACATTTGCTATTTTGATACAATTTGGGCTACTTTTAACAATATTTGGCGGGTTTTAGAAGTATTCATAAGGAAATTACAACAAGCTGCCAAAAGCTGTACTTTCCAGCCCAACGTGTTCTAAAGAAGCCCAATTGGGTGGAAACCAGCCCAATCTGGCAACACTGGTGACTGCTTCAAATTAGAACAACTATTGTGATTGGCTTATAAATAAACCCTTCCCCCACGTGGGGGAAGTTCTTATGATTGGCTGAATAAAAATAAGCTTTGTGATTGGTTGGAGATCATTTCCTGTTGAAAAAAAGACACGTGTGGGGTTGAGCCAAGTCAGGGGAGTATCAAAATTCACACACAAATGCAGAAAAATTCACAGAGCACCAGCAGTTTGTAAATAAAAATATATTTGTGTGTGCATTAGAAATACATGTTTGAATCTATTCTTGTGCACATGTGAACTGTTCTGTGCACATATGAGTCTGGTCCTGTGCATTTGTAAATTTTGTACTGTGCATGTATGAACTCTTTTGTGCACGTGTGAAACTTCCTGTGCACGTGTGAAACGTTCTGTGCATGCATAAATTGGTCTGTGCACATGTGAATCGTTCTGTGCACGCATGAATTGTTTTCTGTGCATGCACGAATTGTTCCTAGCACGAATGGATTGTTCTGTGCACGTGTGAGGATATTGAGACCCAAATAGCTCCATACTCTTGCCCCATTTAGGTTCAAAGATGCTGTTTTAAAAGAATCCATGTAAAAAGAGAAGCTAAAAACTATGTACAAAAAACTATATTTGAAAAAAGGATGCTATTTTGCTTCATTTTTACCTAAAGTTTCTTTCTGACTCTTGACATTAATTTCTTCAATCTAAAGACTTCCGGATCTGTGAAACCTGATATGACTTTATTTCTAATATGATATCTTGCAGAGAAATGAAATAGTCTTATATTTGGGAAATATGTCTCAATTTTTACCCCTCTAAATCCTTTTGTTTGTTCTAGAAAAGTTTTTAAGGATTCAGCAGGGTATCTTAGTTCTTTAGTATTCATTTTAGACACACACACTTCACTGCTATCAGAGATCCAGCTCTCAGCATCACTGCTGTCTGACATTTCTTTTCTCTCATCGACCATTTTGCTAGCCTGCATACTGGCCTGTACAGCAGTTGTTATATTTGCCCGTTTACTTCACCTCTTTATCGGGGCTGAAGCCTCCAACTCCATCAGCTCCTCTGTCTCACCAGTCTCCCCCTCCACCCCAGCTCCAAAAACTGATTCTACACTTTTCCGTCCTTCATTCTGTCCGTCCACCTCTCCTTTCCTTTCCTGATCCCCACACACTAAATGCTCCTTTAACCCAGGTGAAATAAAAGCATTCAGCCTGATGGAGAAAGTAAGAAAAGGAGAGTTTATTTTGTTATTTGCTGCTTACTTCACCTAACTTGCAAATGTCCCACTGCATTTGAAAGCACCACAGAACGCATGTGGGCAGGACCTAGCAAAACAACTAATCAGGGACTATGTACACCACGTTTTGCTCCTCAGTGCAGAGGTGAAGTTCTAGCGAGTTTTTTCTTCGGCCTCTTTGTTCAGACTTCAGCAACGAGAGCGGTCTGCTATTTGTTACAAGGAGAGACGAAAAAAGAGAATCTGGAGTTCATGGAGTCGTGCAAGACCCAAAGTTGTTGAATCCCATCATTGAAGAGCAATGATCAGGTTTTGGTTGGTTGGAGAAACATCCAAGGACTAGACGGGATTCTGTTGGATTGGATGGCGAGCCAGAAAGGACATCAAGTGGAGATATAGAGAAGACACACACACACAGATTTTTTGAACTGAACAACAAAAACTGATCAGATTTAAGGGCCCCAACGGGTACTTGATTTTAGTATGCACACTAAGGTTTGATTTTTTAGGAGGAAGTTTTTTTTTTTCTGATGTTAAATTGTGTTTGTTAATACAAAATCTGTTCAAACATTTGTATGTTGAGAGTCTTTGTTGTTACTGAATTCCTTGGATCTTAAGAACCTAGTTCTTTTGACATTGGTCCTACCTTTATTCTTAGTTCACAATTTTAACTGTAATCCAATTTTTAGTTGCAAAAAGGGTTACACTCCTCATCACCCTTCACCCTCTCTTGCTCTCCCTGCACACCATCTCTGTCCACCACCTCACCTACACTATCACCACCATTCACCTCACCACGCATCCTCACCGTCCACTACTGATCCCTCAACACCTTCTGTCAATTCCTCTGCAACGAGCATTTTCGCCATCACCACAGGTGCCCTCTCTGCACCGGCAGCGGGCCTCTCCACTGCGGATTCCTCCACTGCAACCGCGGGCGCCCCCGCGGGGGCTCCCGCAGCCGCCGCGGGCTCCTCTGCCGCGGCAGCTTCACCAGGTGGGCTCCCCACCCGCTCAGCAGCAGCGGGCTGCTGCTGCGCACTCGGCGGGGCCGGCCCGGCTCTGTTGGGACACATTTTAATAATGTGACCCTCTTGACCACAACCAAAACATTTCATATTAGACGATGTTGCAAAGAGTACATAATCAAACTCGTCTTATCTAACATGAAAACGCAGGTTAAATTCCTCGTCACATCGATTTAATATCATAAATAGTTGTCTCCTGTGAGAGACAACATGCTTAAGCAACGGTGATTTACACCCCGACGGAACTTTTTTATCGGTGACACCACTTTACCGTGTCTAGACAGTTCTTTAACGAGAAACTCATCACTAATAAACGGAGGCACGTTTGACAGAGTTACTTTTGTTGCTGGTAACGCGAGTGGTGTCATTTGCAGAAATAAACCATCTACAGAAACGCCCACCTCAACCAAACGTTGAGCCTGCTCAACCTTTTCGACAAACAAGACGACAACACCATTCATCCGAGCTGCTGACTTGATGGAACCATGCCCGATCACTTCTCCAACCGCCAAACAAACTTCCTCCACGCTGCACAGAGAACCGGCACCCACCTTGACGCCGTTCTTCCATGTCAGCGCGGAGAAAGCCCCACCACCAACAACCATGGCGTCGTCAGACGCCGGCCAGCCAGGCACGCTTGACGGCCACACCCGAACCCAAACAAAAACCCTTAAAACGTGACAAAATAACACAAAATCACAACTAAACAATTAATATAAACACCCAGTGAAAAAAACAGTAAGAAAAAACACTAAGACAGTGATTAAACACTCACTCTCACTCTCGCTCTTCTTCCGCTCTCCACTCGCCCTCCTCTCACACGAAGAAGAAGAAGAAGAAGAAGAAGAAGAAGAAGAAGAAGAAGAAGAAGAAGAAGAAGAAGAAGAAGATCCACACTGATGCATCTAACTTTCATGGTAGCTCCTAGATTCTATGTTAAAGAATATATTTTGTATTTACCTCATTCATCCTTTGTCCAAGGTGGATTACCAGATCACAGAAGCCACACCTCATACTAAGAAGTCCTCANTGCTTTATCCATCCCATATTTCTGAAGAATGGTTTCTATGTAATGTTTCTGATGAAGAAAGATGCAGTTCTTTGCTTTGTCTTGAATAACTGAGATGCCGAGTATATAGGACAGTTCACCCAAGTCCTTCATTTTGTAGCGCTCTTGGAGAGTTAGTTTTAACTCATCCATGCTTTCAGTTGACTCTGTAATCAGCATCAGATCATCGACATAAACTGCAATAATCTCCAGCTCCTGTGATGACCTCACAAACACACATGGATCCGAGGTGCTCTGCTTAAATCCAAGATCCATCATGAATTTTGTGAACTCTTTGTTCCAACAACGAGGAGACTGTTTTAGTC